GGCGGCCGCGGCCCCAAATCCACCTTCCGGGTGCTGGAGAACTCGGCGCCGCACCTCCTGGACGTGGACGGGGAGAGCGGGCTGCTCTACACCAAGCAGCGCATCGACCGTGAGGCGCTGTGCCGGCGCAGCGCCAAGTGCCAGCTGTCCCTCGAGGTGTTCGCCAACGACCAGGAGATCTGCATGATCAAGGTGGAGATCCAGGACCTCAACGACAACGCACCAGCGTTCCCCTCTGACCAAGTGGACATGGACATCTCAGAAAACGCTGCGCCGGGCACCCGCTTTCCCCTCACCAGCGCCCACGACCCGGATGCTGGGGACAACGGGCTGCGCACCTACCTGCTCACCCGTGATGACTACGGCCTCTTCTCCCTTGACGTGAAGTCCCGTGGTGACGGCACAAAGTTTCCGGAGCTGGTCATCCAGAAGCCATTAGACCGTGAGGAGCAGAGTCACCACACCCTGGTACTGACGGCACTGGACGGTGGTGACCCACCACGCTCAGGCACAGTGCAGATCAATGTGCGCCTCATTGACTCCAATGACAACAGTCCCATCTTTGAGGCAGCCTCCTACGTGGTAGAGCTGCCGGAGAATGCACCGCTGGGCACTGCCGTCATCGACCTTAATGCCACTGATGCTGATGAGGGTACCAACGGAGAGGTGCTCTACTCCTTCAGCGGCTACACACCTGAGCGTGTCCGCGACCTGTTTAGCATCGATCCTCAGAGTGGCCTCATCCGTGTCAAGGGCAACCTGGACTATGAGGAGAGCGGCCTCATTGAGATCGATGTCCAGGCACGGGACTTGGGGCCCAATCCCATCCCTGCTCACTGCAAGGTGACTGTCCGCCTCATCGACCGCAATGACAATGCACCCACCATTGGCTTTGTCTCCGTTCGTCAGGGAGCACTGAGTGAGGCTGCCCCACCAGGCACTGTCATTGCCCTGGTGCGGGTCACCGACCGCGACTCAGGCAAGAATGGGCAGCTTCAGTGCCGGGTGCTGGGCGGTGGTGGCGGGCCCGGATCCGTCCCTTTCACCCTGGAGGAGAACTATGACAACTTCTACACTGTGGTCACCGACCGGCCCCTGGACCGTGAGGCACAGGACGAGTACAATGTGACCATTGTGGCACGTGATGGGGGGAACCCCCCACTCAACTCCACCAAGTCATTTTCCGTGCGGATCCTCGATGAGAATGACAACCCACCCCGCTTCAGCAAGAACCTCTATGTGTTACAGGTGCCTGAGAACAACATCCCTGGAGAGTACCTGGGCTCCGTCTTGGCCCAGGACCCTGACCTGGGCCAAAATGGGACAGTCTCTTACTCCATTCTGCCCGGGCATGTGGGTGACGTCTCCATCTACACCTATGTCTCTGTCAACCCCACCAATGGTGCTATCTATGCTCTGAGGAGCTTCAACTATGAGCAGACAAAGCACTTTGAGTTTCGCGTGCTGGCCAAAGACTCGGGTTCACCCCACCGTGAAAGCAACGCTACAGTGCGTGTCACTGTGCTTGATGTCAACGACAATGCACCCCTCATTGTCCTGCCTGCCCTCATCAATGACACTGCTGAGCTGCAGGTGCCACGCAATGCTGGGGTGGGCTACCCTGTAGGCACCGTCCGCGCCCTGGACAGTGACTTTGGGGAGAGTGGGCGCCTCACATATGAGATTGTGGAAGGCAATGAGGAGCACCTCTTTGAGATGGACCCCACTAGCGGTGAGATACGCACCTTGCACCCCTACTGGGAGGAGCTCAGCCCTGTGGCTGAACTGGTGGTAAAAGTCAGTGACCATGGCAAGCCCAGCCTGTCCGCAGTGGCCAAGCTTATTGGCAGGGCCCTGGCGGGTGCCCCGCGCTTGAGCCGCAGGTGAATGGTGAGCAGCATCGGCGACCACACTGGGACTTGTCGCTGCCCCTGATCGTGACGCTGAGCACTGTCTCCATCATCTTGCTGGCTGCCATGATCACTATTGCCGTGAAGTGCAAGCGAGAGAACAAGGAGATCCGCACCTATAATTGTCGCATTGCCGAGTATAGCCACCCTCAGCTGGGAGGAGGGGGAGGCAGTGGCGGGGGAGGAGGAGGCAGTGGCAGTGGAGGGAGCAAGGGCAAGAAGAAGAAGATCAGCAAGAATGACATTATGCTGGTGCCCAGTGAGGGCGAGGACAGCCGGGGCCCCCTCAATGTCATGAACGTGGTGAGCAGCCCATCGCTGGCCACCTCACCCATGTACTTTGACTACCAGACCCGCCTGCCCCTCAGCTCTCCCAGGTCTGAGGTGATGTACCTGAAGCCCGCCTCCAACAACCTGACTGTACCCCAGGGACATGTGGGCTGCCACACCAGCTTCACAGGGCAAGGGACTAACGCCAGCGAGGCTCCCCCGAGCCGGATGTCCATAATTCAGGTAGGAGACTTTTAGAATACCCTGGACCTCACTTTAGACCCTGGTTTAACTTTACCTTTTGTCTGCAGTGAAATCTGCTGTTAAGGCACCACTGAAGGGACCAACGCAAGTCATTAAAGGGAGGTGGACTTAATGAAAGTGGAACCAGACCATGTCTGGTTCTGCTGTCACACTAGTGTTTCCTGTGTGATTCAAAACTAAATGCCCACTGAAACAGAGTTATACCAGTGCAAAAGAGGTGCATGTGAGAGTGCAGGCAGGCATTTAGTATGTTTGGGGCACGCTGGGGTATTTTCCCAGGAGATCGTCAGACAGAGGTGGGTGCTTCCACAGGTTTCACTTGGCTTTGGTTTGGGGTAGAGAAGGGGGAGGGCATTTCTGAAGCAGTCATATCATCTACAGTAACTAACAGGACGTGGGAGAAACTCTACACACTGAGGACATCTATTGCAACAGTGTATTATAGCCCTTCAATCCTGTATGTAAATATGAGCTATCTTTCCAAGACGTACGTTTTTATTTTTTTTAAATTTCCTTCTTTAGAATATATATACATAAATATTTATTTTTTTGACGCAGAACAGTATCATTGGGGCCCCATTGCCTCCTCCTCTCCCCATAAACAACCAAACCTTCAGCATTGAAAATTCTGCTTAGTCAAATAGAGAGAAAATGTGTGTGGTGATTCCCTCCTACCCCTAAATGGTAACAAAACTCACATCCTGTCATAAAACAGCAAAATAGCTAGTCAGATTTCCAGTAGCCTGAGTCAATATTGATGATTGCTTTATAGCGAAAGACTTACATGCTCTGTCTTCCACCAAAGCTCATTTAGAAATTACAACTGGGCTGCATTCTGCTGCCAGTTGTATCCGTACTGTCCTCTACTTACTTTTGTGAATGTGAGAAATGGCAGAATTTGGACCATTGGATATAGGGTGCTAATCAAAGAACTACTTAATCTTTAGCAGGTAGTTTAAAGTCCAAACTCAGAAGATGTATTCCAGAGCAGTGAACTTGCAGAGTGAAGGTGAGGGCAGAATTTGGCTCCGGTTGATTTAATTTGAAGTATTACTTCATGATTAATGCAGCTTAATGTTCATATACTACAGGTATGTTCCAAAGTGATTTTTAACGTTTGGATTGAAAGCAGGCTCTGGATAATGACTATTAAATATATTTGAAATGTCATATCTGTTTTATCCTGTGGTTCTCCTAATATGCTGTTCTGAGTCATAGGGGAATGAGCTGAGTGTATCAGAAGTGACACAGACTCATTTTGTGTATGCAGCAAGTGGGAAAGAACTTGTGCTGTAGACACTTGATGTACCAAAAGAAAATTCATAATACCTTGGAGTTATCATACCCTGTGGTCTGTGAACACCGAATGTTCTAGTTGCCAGCTGCCTCTAATGTTTTAAACTAAGTAGAAGTGGCCATCAGTAATTGGCAGGTTAAGTGACCAAAATTCCAGTAACTGATGACCTGTAAACTGAATAATTATAACTGGGGGAAAACAAAACAAAACAAAAACCCGAAAACCCCCACCATAAGAATAAAGGCTGTCTGTACGAGGTCACTGTGAACTAATCCTCAACCCACTATTGAGTTGTGTCACAGAAACTGTTTCATTTTATGCCTATCATGAATTTGTGTTGCTATCAATTAGGTGAGTGGAGCAATGCTTAAAATCTGAAACTGATCTTAACAAAAAGTGACACTTCAGGAAAGAGTTTAGGTTAGGGCACAACTGAAGATAATTTGATTCATAATTCATGCTTTAAATAACAAATAACTTTAAATGACACTTGTTTAAGTAATGTCAACTTTTTTACTGTAAAATGGAGTTGTCAGAATGATAAAAAAAGAACTTTTTTTTCCTACTGACAAGTGTAATGTTTACTAAAAGACAGAAAATTATACTTTCCTACAACCATGTAATGTCTATATAAAGCAATTAATTAATGTATTGATGCTACTGAGTAGTAAAGATTCAATTGTAGTGTAAAATCCCTATGGAAAATATGGTTCCTTTTTTTACAGTGTTCACTGTATAATATCAGTCATGATTTTTTTTTTTCCTGAGATCTATATAAAGTGAAAAGAGGAATTTCCTCCCTTAAAAAGGTGTGTTGTGGTTTCTATAAGAGTTTTCGTTATGACAACTGTGGGAAATGTTAACCATAACTCCTCATAGCACATACTCATATACCTAATATAGTTTTTGCCTTCTCTAAATACCTGCATAGAGTGTTTCGGAGGTTTAGATGGCCCAGCCAGTAGATTAGGAGACATTAATATTTCCCTAGTGAACAACCTGATCAAACATACTTATTGATACTATATTTTGTAGTTGTATTAACAAAACAAACACACAATATGAAACAAAGTAGTTGGTTTCTTCTTAGGAAAGGCCCAGACTTGAAGTAGCTAGATGGGAAAAGCTAATCCTTTTCACTATAATTTTGCATTACTAAAATACATTTTGTGTTCTCCATTTTCACATCCCTGGAGTAAATTTTATATAAAATTTGCATTTAGAATGTAGACACTACTTTGTGTCTGGTCCTGAACTTCTGCCTCATGTAAAATTCAAACTGCAGACTTAGGGAGAAATAATAAAGGATCAGCCCTCTCTCTGGATCTACTATATCCTTAATCACTCCAGGAATCCTGGAAAAGTCTGGAAAAGTAAATTGCACAGTTAGGAATCAAAGGTACAGCCAGTGGAAAAAAGATACAGAATCCAAACAGCTGCTTTATCATCTCCTTTCATTAGTCAATTCAGAAAAGCAGTTTTCTTCATTAACTCAGTGAGGGAAAGGTAAATGATTGTGTAGATGTTCTCTAGCGAATATCCACTTTAGGTTTTCCAGATATATTACTGAACCACAATAATCTCACAAAATAGAGATGCTTTTCTTTACTCTCATTTTCTCGGCAAGTGTTTAATGGCAGAATTCTCTAGTAGGAGTCTGTTTACATACATATACATATGTACATATTTATATATTATGTATATATACATGCTAAATATTGTATTATTACTTAGTACATCCAATTAAGTCCATAAATATTTAAAATAAAAAAAAATTATTTCTCAGTAAGGTCCAAATTTTCTCACTTTTATTAGGAGTGCATAACAATTTTTTTTTGCTTTGCTTACTAGTAAGAGCTAGTAAATTTTATAGGCTTTATGATTCCCTTATTTTTCATGAATAGTATTTTATTCTACAGATAGCCCAATTTATATCAATGAATACCTGTGGAGTAAAGTGTTAGTGACTATGGGTTTCAGACTGACCCAAAATGACCAGCAGTTTGAATAAAATACTGCCTGATATGTGCAAGAGCAGAGTAATCTTTCCTCTCTTTAGGTGGCTGCTGTTATACATTAGTCATATGGTTTAACAGCTTGTGTGTTTACTCACTGCTTTGTAGCATCCAGCTATGTGCCGTAGTTGCATGTGCTACTTACATGAATCAATGAACTTCTTCAGTACCATAAAAATTAAATCATTTAAACATGCGTACATACATGTATGTGTAAAATTTTGGACGGACAGCCAAGGATACTGTGTACCTTCAGCTTTTATTAGTGCAAGAGACTTGCAAGTGCTTAGGGCCTCTGAAAATAGACCATTTGTGATTTGATGTGCACATGAGGTTGATGTGTGTGAAGATCAGTGTTTAGTAACATACTGGGAAGTTAGAACAGCTACACTTTAACATGTTTCATCGCTTTTAACTTCAGCACTCAAATTCTAAACATACTTTAGAAACAGTGTTTTCAAATGCAGGTCTGTCAAAAATGTTTAAATATAGGCCAGTGCTATACAATTCTTATTGCCAGATTCAAAATTTCATATGACCTTTGAATCACTTAAGGTCCAAATTATTATTTTTTATTGGGGAGAAAAAAGAGGAAAGCAGGAGAGCATGGCTGAAAGAAGATTTCTGTTAACTGTAGACCTTGAAGACTACTGGGCAAATTCTGTTTGTCTCATTCTGGTGAGTAAATCAGGCTGACCTACTCACCTGACTAAGAGAAGCAGAATTTTGTTTAATTTTGAAGAGCAGACATTAGAAAAAGAAATTCCATGTACAAACACACACATATCTGTTCCTATCTCTCCTTCCCAAAAGTTTTGAATTTTCCTGAGTTTGCCTTTTCCTGGGTGAATTTCTTCTTGCAGGTTTCCAATAGATAAAACAGTGGATGGAGAAAGGGAAAGAAATAGTTTCTTTGAGTAAATAGGTTCTGGAAATAGATTCCTCAAAGTGACACAGCAGTAGTGTAGAAAACTATCTACATATGCAAGTAGTGATGGTCGTCCTAGAGATTATTTATTATTATACTTATGCAACTTGGAGAGGTTTGTAAATAAATCAGGAACGAGATGGGCATGAATAAAGAAAATGATGGTCACAGCTTTTGCTAAAAAATAACCAAGAAAGAATGACTGTGTTGCGAGAAGCTCTCAAGCAGGGAATCACCATAGCTACTGTACTAGGCAGTCCTGTAGCATTTCAAGACAAAGTACAGATCATTCTTAACTCTTCAGGCACCTCATATTTATGATGTGTCAACAGATTACTGTCAAGTCCCAAGGCAGCTTCATCGCCAGGTGTATAGTAGTACCTAAGAAGATGGAGTTTTCAGGGGAAATAAAAAAAACCCATAAGCTGTATTAGTGCTGCTCTGTCTTTAGATAAACTATTCCATGCTTTACTTTGAGAAACTTCAGCTCAGAAATTTCAAGATGGCAAAAAGAAATCTGCAGCTGCTGCAGGATGAGAAGAAGCAGCTTTCCGCACAGAAGTTGCATTCACTCTCAGTGAGTCAAATTACTAGTTGAAAACAGAGGTATTAATTTTTTACTTTTATATCTTCTACTGCAAATGAGGAATATTATTCTCTGCCACTAAAGCTAGTAGAAGTTAGCATTTTGCACCAAGAGGGCACTGGGGCAGTTCTACGCGTTTACAAGTTTGCAGGT